ATAGGATTTATATGATGTATCGCTGTATATGCGAGGGTTGTCCGAAAAGTTCTAGGACAATGACGTTTTTATTTTAAAAAAATGTTCCATATATATCTAATGTATAAAAAATATATTATCATATAAAGAAAAACATTATTAAGAATAAAAAACGAAACTTCTAAATAAAGAAAAACGAAATTAATGAAAAACTGAAACTAAAATACGGAACTTATAGATGTGCATGGTAAGGGCCCGAACCCATAAATCATAAGCCCGCGCGTCTGATAGACCTGATTTTGTTTCGACAATAAACAAGTGTAATGTTAACCTTTACACTCACCTATTCCACCCATCTCGAAAACTTAAACATCACAATACATGAATAGAGGAGAATTTGATCTTTTATTATCTAATAGTGATATGCTTAGATTTCATGTATATTTTTTATCTTACATTAACATGATTCATGTGAACTTTTGACCAGTCTGATAATTAGGCCAGTAATTCGATGATTTTAAATATATATTTAGATAAATATCTTCAGTCTTTGGTGTTGTTAGTTTCTGTTTGGTTTTTTTAAGAATATACCTATCGAAACAAAACATACACGCCCAAAAGTAAGTAAATATTGTACGTTTGTTACGATGGTTATTGCTGAAAGTTATCTTATTGATTTCAGTATTGTTGCATGATGTGAAAATTATGCATACAAGTTCAAACTTTTCTACAGATTTGAATAAATCTTTACAAATATCACATGGTGAATATATACCAGAAGGAGATGTAATACATATCTCGGTTGAGTGCAAACAAGATAATTATTCAAACATAGCAAAAGTAATGCAGTAAAACTTTTGTACTAATATTTTAAAAAAATCTTCCATTAATACGCACAAAAAATGACATTTTCCAGCCTTTGCTCATGCTATAATTTATATTGTGATCATTTATTTCTTATTTTTGATTGTGGTCACAATTTTACATTCTATAAGAAATGTTCAAAAAAAAATGTTCAAAAAGTAACCTTCTACCATCATTTTAAGCTGTAACAACAGCTTTATAATTTTAGGAAACTACATATGTTTTTATTTTTAATATCTAATGTTATGTGATAATGCTGATGTTCTACCAATATAGAATTGAAAACAAAATCGTTGTGTCAATTGCAACTCTAATACTCCAAATGTTTTCAAAACAATACTAAGCAAACCTTCTTTCTTTAACAAATTGTCATTTACTATGTTTTAGACACAGTTATTCATATCCGGAAATTCAATTTGTTTTGGTTCAATGTCTTACAGGGTACGCAAACCCATTTTGGGAAGCAGTTCACGAAAACAACTTTTTATAAAATCATAAATTAATGAATATCTTATGAGAAATAAAAAAACAAATTTAAACCGAATGACAACCAATAATACATGTACATATATTTTTTATTAGAGATCGAGACTTCTATGTTTGTTATCGATAAAGAATGATTTCATCGAGGCAATGAAAAATTAACGCCCCAATTCCCCATATGCACATTCTAACACAACCAGCTCATCTTGATCTGATACTTATTTCGGGTCTCACATAGCAAAACACGAACTTTACCATTGTAATCATATGGGAGGCGGTGGGTATCATCTGGTGAGGTCACAGCTTACAGTACCTCTAGTTTTGAGTGTATACATGTATGGTTTGTTTAGATACTTAATGGGTACATGTGTGAAGAATACATAATAGATTTTTTTCCGTTATTTCCTGATTATGACAACGAGCACACGGCGGGTGTGACCGGTCGGCAGGGGATGCTCACTCATCCATGGCACCTGATCCCACCTCTGATGTTTCGGAGGTCCGTGTTTGCTCTGCTCTTATTTTGTATATTGTTTAATGGACGTTGAGAATGAATACTGTTCGTTAATTCCATATCCTTCCTTCATCATGTAACGTTGGAATTGCTAGGGGTAGGTTAACATGATTTATAAATTTTGCATTCACCTCTTTCGATTAAATTCAAAATTTACAACATTAAAAACGTGTGGAATGAAACAAGATTTGAACTAGAGGTATTGTGTGCAATGAGTTCACTAAGTAATCATCCACCGGTCTTCCATATGATTATAATGGCTAAGTCCAGGCTTTGCTCTGTGGAACATTAAATGAGCTTCATATCAAAAAGTAAAATAGGAGGTGCAAAAAGGCATCATGTTATTCAGAATCTGTGAAAGTATCATTAAAATTTATTTATTCTATGATATTAGAGGATTTGCGGATAAGAGATGGGTATCCCGAAGCGTAACAGACGGACGTACAAACAACAGACGGACATCCCTCTTACTTTATACCCTCCAGCTTTTAGGCAGGAGGTATGATAATTATATAATTCAAGGACGTTCGATCCTAGGCTTTTGAGGGGATTTTTGGTCCTGTCCATTTTTCTTTTATAAAATTCTGCATCATTTTTAAGTTCTAACATTAAATCTGAATTCTACTATTCAAATTTAACTTTATTCAATGGAAAAAAAAAAAAAACATTAAAAAGGAATTAAGTTAGGAACTATATTTTTGGCGGAAGGTTTTCTGAAAGGAAATGATTTTTTTTTTCATTTTTCAATTGAACTATAACAGTACTGTTAATTTAAGATTCCAATTTTTTCATGCTGGTTGCACACAAAGCTGTTTTTTTTTTTTTTTTGCAGCGAAATGCGTTATGCTGTGTTATGGAGGAGCGAAATGCGTTATGCTGGTTCTGAAATATTGAATTATTTCTTATGAATTCTTTCCACGAACTGTGACAAATATAGTAAATATATTCTGAAAATCCTGGTAAAAATGAGCTATTTTCAATGAACAATTGACACTTAGAAATTCTGAAAATCCACATCTTAACCCCGAACTTTTCATGTTCTTTGACCTATTTGCTAAAATTCAGAAAGTTTAAAACTTTAAAATAATTTTCTAGCTTATTAAATTTTCAATGCCAGAAAATGCCAGAAAATTCACATTTTATAATGTCACAAATCGATTATTCGAAACAATTTGATTTTTTTTTTCTTAGTCTTTTAAAAAAAAAAAACTTAGAGTTCATTTTGTTTTATGCTTTAATTGGATAAAAAAAAATTGGAGTGAAAAGGTCAAAGACGTAATTCTTAATTAAGACACAGATTTCAATGCAAAAAGGTCATATTAGATGTACTGTGGTGCCAAAAGAAGCATATTGATCCCCATTCTATATTTGAATTTTAATTAAGCTATGCATGTTGAAACTAAAAACATACTTGGCAAAAAATGTTTAAGACTTTAAAAATCGGGAAAAAATTCTCATTTAAAATGTATGTTTAATTCGAGAAACCGACATTTATTTATTTCATTTCTTTCGTTAGTGGAGTAATCATTATGTTTTATTTACATCTGGATACAAAAGGTGAAGCATAGTTGATTTTTTAACTGTCTCAAATGCAAAAATTATGTATCATAAGTATTTACTTTATATAATTCATTGAATACAGGTTCAGTTTAAAATATATTCATTTCTATTTTCTTTCTATTTCGTTTAAATTATGGATTTGGGGGACTGCACGAAGGTTAAAGTTTTTCTTTGAAATGCTTTACCAGTAATTTTTCATATCTTAAGACTATTTTAAATTTGCATTAACTTGAAAACAGTGTTGTTAAGAAGCAAGTGTGTTACAATGCACACATGCATAGTATGATGAAAAAGCCTCGAAAATGTTTTTAATGTGAAAAACTGTGCCATTTAAACATTCTAATTCATTAAAGCTTTATCGATGCATAGGTATTTTGTATTGCAATAATTTACTTGACTTACAACCTCCTTTTTCAAACCAAAAGATGAAGAAGTACATTTTGACGAAAACGAAATTGATGCCCTGGTTTTTGAAGGGGGAGGAGCGAAAGGAATAGCTTATTGCGGTGCAGTAAAGGTAATTTTCGTAGTACAACATTACATGATTAGCAACTTCATTATATGAAATTCATAAATCGTATAAAAATACATAAATAAGTTGATCTTAGTGCAAATTAACAATGGGAAATTCACATTTAGGCATTAGAAAAAAGAGGTATTCTGAAGAAAATAAGACGGTTCGGTGGTGTAAGCGCCGGAGCCACCATTGCTGCTTTTCTAGGAATGGAGTTTTCATCGTACGAATAAGACGAGCTGTTGTCAACAGACTTTCATAAATTACTCATGTAAATGTTGTAGTATATATAACATTTTAGTTACTTTTTTTGTATTTTATTTAGGATATGTCATTTGACCCATGACATCTTTTTAATACTTTCAGAATTCACAAAATATAAAACCTCATTTAGAACGTTTTCACTTAATTATACCTTTATCTAAATTGGAATATAATTGGGATTATGTACAATAATTGTGAGCTTTACAATTGCATCAAATCATTAACGTCTGTCGCGCGTGATTTTTTTTTTTGAAAATTAAATCATTATACTTTTTAATTAGACATATATACAAAAGGTGAATCGTGGTGTTTTTGTCTGTAGCTCTACGGAGCTGTACGTTACATATCATTAAGAATAATATGAAATAAATACTAAATATTGATACGCTTGCATAATATTTAAGACAATTTTTTTTACTTCAAAATTTGACAATAATGTTTTTTTTTTCATATGTCTGTTACAAGGAAGTTGATGGGGCTCAATGAAGAATATATATAGCAATTTCTTTTTCTTTCATAACTTTTTTCATCTGTGTAACATCGACCATTAACTAGTTCGTACTCTCTCTCTCTCTCTTTCTCTCTGTCTCCTTATAAAATATTCCATATATACTCGCCTGTAAGTCGGTCCAGCTATAAGTCGGTTGTATTTTTTAGGTTAATTTGGAAGGATTTGTCATTGACCCGCTTATAAATCGGTGTAACATTTTGCCAGAACAAATTGACTATTTCAAATCAATGCTTTGATCTTTTAACCTTGTTTCAATTAATATTTAAAGAAATTAGCTGATATGTGATTTTAAATCATTACAAAAATTAGTAATGCACACTTACCATAAAAAGAAGGTTACGGTATTAAAATATGTAAATACTTTTTTCATGTGTTCAAATTCATCTATCATATAATATATAATATATAACCAGACTTTGTTTAACGATAATCGTCCGAAATGTATACCGGTATAAAATATTACATATCGCCCTAAATGAAATTCAAATCTTATTATGACTCGCCTATAAGTGGGACATAGGGTTTTGGACATAAATTGAACTCCCAAAATACCGACTTATAGGTGGGTATAAACGGTTATAACATTTTACTCTGAATGAAAATGATGACTCGTTTTTCTAACCCAAAAATTTAGGATTATGTTGTTTGGTTTTGGAAAGGTTTCTTTTTTTAAATCAGAATAAGTTTACATTTTACCTTCAAATAAAGGTGATGACTAGTGTTGCAACATAAAATATGCAAAATATATCGGTTGGCTGTATAAAGGAATCACCAAATTTGGACTGTTTTCAACCGACTCATTTTCCGAATGGCTAGGAAAAGTGTTTGAGAAAAAAGTTACCGACAAAATCAAAGAAACAGGAACGGTTCTACCAGAAATTAGAAACAAAAAAGATATCACTTTCAAACAGGTAATCGACGTAAATGATTTATACTTATATAGCATATATATGAAATAATATTTAATGCGAGAATGCGAGAAAATAAAAAAAAACCATTGAAGTCTTAATTTAACATTGTTCAGAGAACAATAGCTTTCTCAGTTCTTACGAAATTGGAGTGTAACAACAGACATTCAATACAAAAGATTGTAATGAACATTTAGCTACTTTTAAGCCCTTCATCATATTCAAATTATGACTTCATGAACCTTCCCGTATGCATCATCTTACAATCTGCCTTTTGTAAAATATGTAGGCCCATATAAGGATTAAAATTCGTTGGTATTAGAGAGATGCTGTTTTTCAGTTACTTGTTGCATGCGCATATGCATGTATTATGTCGTCTTAAAACATAAGACTTAGTTAAATGTGTTTCTCAGGTTTACGAACTTTTTGGTAAAAAGGAGATCTGTATAGTTGTGACAGACGTCTGTACACAACCAGAAGAATACTATTATCCCAAAACAACTCCTGATTTCCCAGTGAGAGAAGCAGTCCGAATGTCAATGTCCATTCCATGTAAGTATTTAATATTTTATTTAAAATTAAATATAGCTTGCAAGATGATATTTACTTTCAGAGTAATTTATGATTTGAGCGACTAAGATTATTTTCTCATTCTCTCCCTTGCAATGTTAATTATCTGTTTGTTACTTTGCTTGTCAAATCTGATTTTATGTTTTTAATAAGAACGTGCTAAAATGTTCTAAATTTAAATCAAGACAAATCAAATAAACAATGAAGAATTGCTTGAATAAGAGAATGTTAACATAACCATTGAATTCTTATTTGGGATGTCGCTTGACCTGTATAGATGCTGCAACCTTATCGTTGACAAGCAATCACGCATGTGTCAGATTTAATAGTTTTCAATTTTATCGTGCGAGATTGTGAGGAACAAAAGGTGTTAATTTTGTTTTGTGGCACCTGATCCGACCTTTGATATTTCGGAGGTCCATGTTTACTCTGCTCCTATTTTGTATTTTTTATGGACATTAAAGTTGAATACTTTTCGTTATCTCCAGTCCTTCTTTTATTAAACAGGCATTTTTCTTGTAATTTTTTTTTTACAAATCAAATAAAGTACTTAAATGAAGTGTGATTTCTGATTTATTATGAACGAATTAATTATCGCCAGTAAATAAGCATTAGGTCGTAAAATATTAGTATTCTCTTAAAAAAAACATTACTTTTAATGGTAACCCATATTCTTTTTATTTAGGACGTTCATTAATTTTTTCGATGATGTTAATTATGTTGAACGTGATTACGACCAAAACTTACCTGCGGTATATTTTCGATTGTAAAATGTAGAGATTTATCTTTGATTATTAAATTTCTTCTATATATTGTGGTCAGAAATTCAACAAAAGGAAAGCTCATTTCCTTTTGCACAGAAAATCCGAAAAGATCATTTTTGCAAAGCTGTTGAATTCCTTTTTTGCATGTATTATAATTCTATCCTTGAATACTTCGACATTAAGGACCTACAGTGGACCTTCAGATATCCGGACGCCAGATATCCGGATGCTTCAGTATCCGGACGATTTTTCATCGGAACGAAATTTTAAGATGTTATTCTGTCTTGTTTCATTGGTGATTCAGATATCCGGATGCTTCACATATCCGGACAAATTGACTGGGAATCAAAGCGTCCGGATAAATGAGGGTCCACTGTATATCTATTGTGTCTATCTTCAAATATTCATGCAAACAGCTTTGAGAAACATTTCCTTTTTCTTAATACAACATTTTCTTTCAGTTATATATCTCAACTAACATTAATTCCCACTTGGCAAAACTTCTACTGTTTTAAAGGCATTCATGAATTTGTGTCCATCGAGTAACATTAAAATTAAAAATTACAGCATCAAAAAGCAGGGCGTTATATACCAAATTACAAGACTTGTAGCGAACAGTTTTACCTTACAAAAATGAAAGATGTCATAGAATTTATCCTATTTTGAAAGATATTGAAATCAAATGTTGATATTCTGATTAGTTGAAAAATTGCGAAATCGGGAAAGAAAAACAATAAGCTTATAACTTTGACTTTTAACATAAAAAACCCCATTGAAACTCATATTTTTTCAAAATTATTTTAAGTACAAGGTTCAAATTGAATTAAGAAAAATGAATCTTTGAATATTTTAAGGCAGAAACGACAAAACTTTAGACTGTATAAGAAGTGCAGCATTTTGTTACATTTACTTTTTTTGAGATGAAATTGTTTCTAGCTAGATAACAAAAATTTTCTATGGGATGCTTATCTAATACTTGAATATTTTCCTGTTACAGGTATGTTAAGATATCACTGAAATTCGGAATGACCTATTTTTTCCAGTACTTTTTCCACCAAAGATATTGATGCCACCTGTATGGGACGAGGACGAATATTTCATCGATGGCGGTGTGCTCTGCAATTTTCCTCTTCTTTGTTTCGATGGTTATTTCTCTACGTTATCAATTAAGACAGCAAAAAGTACCCATGCACATTGCCCGTTCTCTCCTCTTTTTTGATTATTTTGAAACGTAATCTGCATTTAAAAAAACTATTCTTATAGTACCCACTTGTAAACGCAAAATCGCTATTTCTTATGTCAAATAATCAATGCTTTGTCTTCTATATCCGTTTTTCCAATTTTTATACATGTATTGTAAATACTTCTTGCATAATCGTGTTTTTCAAAAGGATGGCGGCTGTCTATGGCGGAAGAAGACTCTTTCATTGCAAGAATGAGAAGTTCAAAATCTGAAGACTTATTGAATATGCGGTTTGATAGATTTGATCCGAAAGATTCTCAACGGTCCAAAACTCTTGGACTTCGTGTGGTAAATATAGGAAAATATCTCTCTTAAAGAATCTTATAGCAAAACAATGTAAGGAAACTGTTCATTTACTCATAGAAAGTAAATTGTGCAAAAGGAAAAGTAATGTTTTTTGAAAAATAGTCTTCCTAACTTGATTAAGGTTCATGTTTTACAAGTGAAATGAATTGATAACATAAGATTTTAATATCCGTATAAAAATATTTCAGTATTTAAAAAAATTGCTCTTTAATTTCAGGACATGTGTAACAAAAAGGTAATAATATAAACTTAAGAATTCTTAGTTTTCTTAATTCCTAAAAAAATTTATGAGCTATTGCTTAGAATTTATATTACGAGTTTTTAAAACTCTATCTTTTTAGGTGGAAGAATATGCAAGTCAAAAGAAAATTGGTAAAACAAATGATATCTGCATTATTTCATATAATATTTAAATGGTTTTGTTTTCTCATTTTTTTAAAGAATACAGGACAGTTTTAATTAAGAGTAGTTAAAAATGGTCTACTGTGTTGCAATCATTTTCCCTTAAAACATATTTTTGTGGCTTTATTTATATATTTATTTATTTGTTGTATGAAATCAAACTGTCGTTGGACTTTGACGACCTGTTCTTAATCCATTATAAACAAACCCATGAGAAACCCAAATTTTTCTAATTCGTTTGGGTTTTTTCAGTTTATCTAATGCTATTTTTTCACCAAACTTTCGTCGTATATAACACAATTCCTTTACTGTAAGAAGGGAAAAGTTTTGATATTATATTTTTTAATTAGATATAAAAGTTTAAAGATTATAGATATAGTGTAAAAATGTCTTCTTGAGATAAAGCATAAAATTTGTGAAAAATGTAAGAAATAGACCCCCCCCCCCCCCCCCCCCCCCCCCCCCGAGATTTCTTGTTTCAATGATTATAATATAAAGCTTTCAATTTCAACGAATCATAAAAACAAGAAGAAAATACACGAAGCTTTATTTTACTTTTTTTTGCTTAAGATTTCAAAAACTATATACAAATTGCGGATTTCCAAACCTCTGTTATAATTTTAACCATGAAATGTTTTTACTTTTTTCACATTTAGAGAAGAAGGATGCTACAGAACCCGAAGATATAAAGGTTGATTATGCTGCTTTTAAAATATCATTGAACACTACTGTTCTAGATGTAGTTGTTACATACATGTTTACATTGACGAGTGTTTTATATGAGATACTCACTCCTCCATAGCACTGATCCCACCGCTGATGATTTGGAGGTCCCTGTTTGCTCCGCTCCTGTTTTCTATTGTTTTATGGGCTTCTGATCTGTAATACTGTTTGTTATTTCCATATGTTTCATCTGAAATTGATTATTTGCGGTAATGCAAACTTATATTGCTCTGGAAGAAATTTGAAGATAATGAAAATTAAAAATCATCAGATGTCAAAAAAAGAAACACATTTTATGAATATAGAAAATGCTGCCCTCTAAAACATCAGAAGCGAGATCAGGTGTCATGGAGGAAAAATTTGGATATCATACATCAAATAAATCTAAAACAGAATTTTTCATGCAAGATATATTTTATTAAAATGTGTCCATTTTAATTAATATTTCGGATGAACTTCTCAGAGGAAGATCATAAAGAAGCATAAAGATAATAAATACGTTTATCTGTTGTTTACTGTTTAGCATTCAGTATATACTAAACAATCTTAATCTTCATTTTCTTTTTAAATTTACCTTAAAAAAGATTAACACAAGAAAGATTTTTTTCTTTGTAGGCATATACAGGCCCACCAAAAACAAAACTTATGAGGTATGAATTTCTCCCTATGCAATTTACAAAAGTTGTGGCATTACATATATAAGATATTACTGAATATACATACATGTAATTATTTCTTTTGAAAAGACAACGTATTGGCTAACTTCGGGAAAGAAATAATCAAATTAAACATACATTTTTGTTTGCTTCTAATTCCGGTTATTGTTTTGTTAGGAAAAAGAATAAGAAACATTCAACATTAAACTCTGGAAAAAAGGAATACAGTTTGATTGAAGAACTGATAAAGGTTGGTTTAAATTAACTGTCTGAAGGATAAAAATGTTCCCGCCAGGATTTTCACTGATTCATATGAAGTAAAGAAACAATAGAATAAGAACTTAAGATAGAAATAAAAATTAAGTTTCATAGTATGCGGGGTAGTGTTGAACTTTTGCTTTTTTGCTACGAACGACAAGGGAAAGGCTGATCAGCAAGTAAACACCCTTTCTGCTTTTTTTTTTCTACAAAGAAACTGTACAGTTATATAAGCATACCTTATTCATAAGATTTATTCTCACTTGAATTTCACATGATATTCATTCTAAATGCTTTTAAACTCCGATTTCTTGTGTTTGTTAACATGAATTCTGGTTACATTTCACTTTCACTCTGCTACTGCATGATCAACAGTTATGACGTCACTGGTTTGGTATTAAACCCCTGTGATAAATACAGAGATCCAGAAAGGACAAAATTTCATTTATATTATGCCTCTGCATATTTTGATCCAATTTACGACCTCAAATCAACCTTAGATATCGATTTTAAGAAATTGTTATCTCTGAAACTTCACTTCATATAGCTTACTATGACGTCATATCATTTAGGCAAGTAGAATTTTTAGCTGTAACCTTAACATACCTGCGCGGTAGCTCAGTTGGTAGAGCGCTCGCTCCGTGATCGGGAGGTCGTGAGTTCGTATCACGGCCGCGACTGACCTCAGTCGATAAAAAACGGGTAGCAACTGTTCCTTCAACATGCACTCTGCCCTTTGAAGTGAAAGTTGCGGGTCTTTCGGATGAGACCTTAAAAACCGACGCCCCGTGTCAGCGGCAGTCGTTGGCACGATAAAAATCCCTCACTGCTCAATGGCCCTAAGTGCAGAGTAAAGATCAAAATTTGAAGCCCTTCACCAGCATACGGTGACGTCTCCATATGAGTGAAAATTTCTCGAGAGGAACGTTAAACAATACACAATCAACCAACAATCTTTTCATGTAAACTTTGAAATTAAGATTTTTAAACACAGTTTTGTTATTTACTTTAGTTTTGAGTCTCTCTGTTATTTAGATTTATCCCTAAAATATAAAATTTGCTTTTATCTCTCCTACAAAAAGGGATTGCATTGATATTCTACTTGTGAGATATTATCAATTAAAAATGAATGCCAGCCATTAAAAGAAACTGAGAAATGCAATTAACTCAAAGTTATTCATATCGGAATTGTCTCAAGCCTTTTCTTATCAGTGTGGTTGTGATGAAAAATTAAACTGCAATGTCAGGGAATTCCAAGCAAAATCATCATATTTGTGAAAGTGTGGTTTATACACCCTGATGAACTTACATGTACAAAAATCAAAAGAAGAATTTTGAAATTTTAACAAAATTCAATAACAAAATTAAAGAAAAAAATAAACAGAAATTTCAACAATGAAAATTAACCCCAAAAAATGTACAAAATAAAATGAATTGAAAATGTCTTTGTTAGTTTGTCCTTGTCCACGTCAGTCAGTGCGCATGTCCCTTGGTATGAATTGGTCCCGTTTGCCCTGGTCCTTCCGTAAGTGCGGAAATCTTTGGAGAACAGATTTTTCCAGTTTCCTTTTAGTGTGGCTTCACGGAACAATGTTTATTGAAAAAGGGCTGAGTGGCACACTGAGTTCCTCTCGGGTCCCAGAGATATTTGTCCGACGCCAGGCTCACCACTTTAAAATGTCTTTCAATGAAACTAAATATTCAGAACTATTTCCAAATTCACAATATAAATAATTCACAATCTTCCCCAAAGTTAAGTTCATAAAATGACTTTAAATCAAATAATGAAATGTTCAACGAGGGTCACCGCCCGATGATATAACTCACAGAACTGGTTTTAGAGATGTGTCGTATGGGCCGCCCTAGTTCACTCACACGCTATGGGGCAACGCACTTTGAAAAAAATTACGCACTTTGAAAATTCTTTCAAAGTGCGTTAATATTTGGACAAAATCAACACACTTTGAAAAATGTTTTCAAAGTGTGTTAAATTTGGGAACTAAAGGAATTTAAGGGCTCCCCACAGAAGTATTAAACAAATTACCGGTATGGTGAACCAAGGGGATTTATTTACAATATAATGAAGAATTTCAGTTTGTTACATACCTCTCCCTTTTAAGACTAAAGACCATTTAGTCCAACCAAACATACAAACTGAAAATTGAAATAAACAAACTCACACTATATGCAACACAGCTTTATCTACAATATACCTGCAACAAAAGTAATCTCAGATAATTACTCAGCCACATTATCTGAACATAACCTCGATAGTAAGTGTGCTACTGTATTCAGTGTACCACGAATATACCTGATCGAGAACACCAACTCTTGCAAAAGAAGACTCCAACGTAACAAATGTTGATGCAATAACTTTGACCTTTGTAACCATTGCAAAGGTGCATGATCAGTCTTTATTTTGAATGGTTTACCTTCTAAATAGACTCTTAGACTCTGGACTGCCCACACGATTGCGAAGCACTCTTTTTGTACTACAGCATAATTTCTCTCCGTAGGACTGAACTTTTTGCATAGAAAACCAATTGGATGCTTACCATCTTCAAACTCCTGCTCTAGCACCGCAATAGCTCCGTGTGCACTTGCATCTGTGCGCAAAATAAATGATCTACTGAAATCTTGACTTCGAAGAACTGGTTCTGATAGTAACTTACCTTTTAGTTCTTGGAAAGATTGATCAAGTTTGCTTGTCCATTTGATTTTGCTAGGCGTTTTCTTGCTCGTCAGGTCTGTAAGCGGAAGTGTTAAAGTGGCAAAATTTGAAATGAACTTCCGGTGAAACCCAATCATACCTTAAAATGACTTTATCTTTTTCTTGATAGTTGGAATGGGAAAGTTCTGAATGGATTCTACCTTTTACATCATTGGCTTGCTTTTCCACTTCCTACAGTATGACCAAGAAAACAAAGTTCATTGAAACCAAACTCACATTTTGTAGGTCGAGCTGCTGAGTTCGCTTTCCTCAACGCTGAAATCACTATTCTCAGATGCTCAAGGTGTTCTGTCCAGCTGTTGCCATAGATCCCAATATCATCAATAAAAGCCTCGATGAAGTCTTCTAGCCCTGTATGAACTTTACTTACCAGTCTAACGAAAGTGGCCGGTGCATTCACCATCCCAGACGGCATGACTGTAAAACTGAAATGTCCTAATGGAGTTACAAAATTAATGCACTTTTCTGTTTGCATCCTCGTCTAATGGTACTTGCCAATAACCTTTTTTCAAGTCCAATTTGCATATGAATTTTGCTTTACTGATCTTTATCAAAATAACATCTATTCGAGGCATTGGTCTTCGGTCAAGTACTGTTACATTATTCAACTCCCAGAAGTCGAAGCAGAATCTCGACGATTTGTCACTCTTCTTAATGAGGACGACTGGCGCTGAAAACGGACTGTCTGTAACTTTCGCTTCACTTGATCTTGCAAGGCATATGGAATCGAAACATTTATAGACATTTTCACAGAATGTTTCGTCAAAGGCGTTTTCTTGGGAACGTCTGTAAAAATATCACCAAATTCTTCCCCTAACCTCTGCATCTGGTCCCTTTACTCTGTGTTGAGATCTTTTGAGTACTGTACGTCGGCTAATATTCTGTCTGTTGAAGGGCCGGGACTTTATCCGACACCTCACCGTCTTTATCTGAACATCATTGCTAGATAAACTGGAAATGATATTCAAGCATGCCATTATTTCAGACTAACTGTTTTCCTCCGACTCTCGCTCAAACCATTCCTTCAGCATATTGACGTGATAAACAGTTTCTGTTTTTGGACAGTCTATCCTTGAAATCAACGGGACTTACTTTTTCTTTCACCTCATATGGACCCTTCCACTGCACCAATAATTTAGAATTACTTGTTATCAATAACACATAAACTTTCTGACCTACTTCGAAATTCCTGCTCCTGGCATTTTTGTCATAATATCTCTTTTGTTTCTTCTTTGCATGGGATTCTACTTCTGTAACCAGCTTACGTACTGTCTCCATTCGTTCCCGTATCTCCATGAGACAACTGAGGACTGATGCTTGTTCTTGGATCTTTCCATTGCTTCTTTAAGATGTCTAACGGACCCCTGACATGTCTGGCATAAAGAAGTTCAAAGGGAGTAAAACCCGTCGTTTCATTCGAGACATTTCTATAGGCAAAGAGTACAAATGGTAAATGATCATCCCATTTTAATGGCTCTACAACTGCATATGCTTTCAACATTTGCTTAAGGTAGAACCTATGTCGGAAAAATCTTTGTCACAAGATTTTCAAATTTTTCAAAATGATAAATTAGTTCTTGCTTATCAATCAGTTAAAAGCTCATGATTTGTTTCCTTGTTTTTAAATCTAATACAGCCTGTGAAACTTGGTATGGTAATTACATACTGTGACTAAACATTTTCAGTTATTTTTAGGGGTAATTGTCAAGAAGAGAATATGAAAAGATACAAAAATACTTCTTCAAACATCGTCATTTATAAACTTTATAAACTGAACAATATTAGGCAATTTTTCTCAAGAATAATTTCGTTTTTATTCAAATGACATAAAAGATAAGTCCACATTTAAAAAATAGATAGGCAAATGAATTCTTCTTTATTTGTCAATTTTCCACTCTACATTTGTAAATATTTTTCAGAAGTCTTTGTCACAATGTTTTCAATCTTCAATATGATGAACAACATACCCAAATGATTACAAAAAATTGATTAAAATATATACCTTTCGCCTCTAACTGATGAGAGATTAATATAATTGACCTTTTTTCACTTCCACGGGATTTGATTATTTAATGACTGTTTGGGGTTACTTTTACATAAAAAGTATTCTATTTAATGAAAAAAAAATCATATTTTATAGAAAAATTGTAATCAAACGCAAGGAATATGAATAAGTAACAAATAATTATGAAAAAGAATGCACATCATTTCATTAAAGATATCCCAAAAATGTACACACAATCGCACGATCTACAACACGTA